ACCGTGCGGCGCTGGCAGGTTGCGAAGCGATAGGAGCCCGATCCCCAGGGCCAAGGACCTGGACTGAGAATCTGATTGTGTCGGAGAGGGAAGAGGAGGGAGGAGTTTACTTCAGTGGTTTTCAGCTGCGGGAGCTTAAAAACCCAGAAGCCCGGGCGGCATCCCAGAATCACGGTGTCAGACCTGCGCGCTGACATCCCGGCATCATTAGTCTTTAAAGCTCCCCCGTGGTTCCCAGGAGCAGTCAAGTTGGCGAAGGACAAGCGTAGATCAATGGAAGGTAGATACTCCTCTGAATAATTCTGGCCCCGGCGGGCGTGGCCCCTCCCTCTCCTGACCCGCTCCCTCCACCACCGAAAATAGCTCCTTACTGGAAGTTCTCATAAGATACAAAAAGTACCCTGGAGAGGGGAGCGCGGGAAGGAGCGCTGTCAACTGTTTCCCACGCTGCCAGCGGGGTCTGGACAGGGATACACAGTTGCGCAATTGAATGAAGGCAGGAGAGACACAGACACTGAGTGGCATTTTAGGAATACCTGCTCCAGGAGAGTACAGATGGCCTCGAGTTAAGAGGTCTGCATGGTCATTAAAATGATTTTTTGTAAACGATCCTTAAAGGAGATCTCCGCGTTCATTGCCACACCAGCAGCATCTCCCGCTGTCCGTTTGGCCCACTGCAGCTCTGGGCACCCCTGTCCCCGGCGTGGGTGGAACCTCCTTCCGGCCAGGGTGGGCCAGACCATCCCCTCACTCCCCACATCTCCCGCTGAGGCTGTGGTGGCAGGATCTGGGGGGCGGGGGGAGGGGGGTCTGCAAGAAGGAATGGGTACAAATGAAGGAAAATGTTGTCAGTGAGACGGAAAGTTCTGGAATACACAGGCCTCTGTAAAGGCTGCATCCCAGGGTGGGGTACAGCAGAGTGCATTCTACTTCCCCGGAGCCCCAGGAGGGAAGTCCCCCAGAGAGAAGGCACCTGGAAGCCAGGAGACCAGGAGGGCCACCTGGGGGCAGGGTGTCCCAGGCAGAGTGACTTCTAGCAGCTGCCTTTCTCTCTCTGAGCTGCCGTTTCCCCTTAAAGGGGCATATGATCAAGTGGCCTCTACATTTTGCCCCCATTTGGAAAGTATGACAAAACGGGAAGATAACGTTCTAAGTGACTTGGGGTGGTGAGCACACAATACAGCATCAGATGATGTGCTGTGGAATTGTGTCCCTGAAACCTGTAGAATTTTGTTAACCAGCCTCATCCCAATCAATTCAATAAAAAGAAAAAAAAATTTAAAAGCCCAGTTACTCGTTTAGCTAATGCAATTGCTAGAATTCTGTGAAGTGGAAGTGGGTACTTCTATCAAAGACCCACAGAGAATGGCCTTGGGTTTTACTTTTTTTATTTTTATTTTCTGGGTTTTACTTTAAAAAGTTATGCTACTTTCTGGGGCGATGAGGAGTGTGGGTTACACAAGCGTGTACACCTTTGTCTAAACCAATTAAACAATATATTTAAGATCTGAGCACTTCACTGTTTGTAAATCATACTTCAATACAACAACAATAAAAATAAAGCCCAAAGAAATCTCCTTCTTGGAAAAAATCCAAACTAATCAACATTTTTAGAAGATTTGACAAGTCAGTGGGAAGCCCTTCACTGGGCTCATGGAAGAGGGCAGGAAGGACAGCAAAGGCGCCCAGGGCTTGGAACTCTTCTAGAAACAGCAATGGCCGTAGAAGAAAGGCTTCTCAGAATCAACTGCTGAAGAGATGCCAGCACAGCCCCACATTGCCCCAAAGCCTCTGCCGGCCAGCGGTTCCACCTGCCCCGTTTCGGGAGTTTGAATGGTGAGGGTGGGTACAGAAGCCTTTCCATAGCCCCTGGGCACAGGCGTGAGGAGCCTCTTGGCCCGGCCCTGCAGGTCTACGGAGAGATCTGTGCAGTGTCCACAGCGTCTGTCTTTCAGGTCCCCGGTGGGTGTGAAGCCTGGGCGAGCACACAATGCCCGCCACTGTCTCCTACCGGGCCGGGGCCGGGGCCTGGGGTGGATGGAGGTGAGCGCGGTGCTAAAGGGCTTCCAAGCCAACCAGCCAAACCTCTAGCGGAACCTGTTTATCTTGTTGCCAGAAAGGGCACTTGATCCAGGAATTAATTCCGAAGTGAAAGGCATCACATGGCGGTCCACTGGCTACGCCTAACGCAGCTTGTCCCTCCTGTAACCTCCAAACTCAACTAAAACCCCAAACAGGGAAATTATATTTAACTCGCTTAACTACCGGAGACGCTCCGACCTGTTGGCTCGGTGCAGGGGCAGGCAAACCAAAAGCAATAACACGAGAGCTGGGAAGACGGAGCTCTCCGCCGAAGGGTGACTCATGCAGAGGCCATGGCAGGCTCTCCTCGCCCTTCTCTGAGTCCCTGCGGCTCTAGTGAACGTCAGTGGGAAAGACTCAGACCGATGGATACAAAGTGTAGGAAGGCAGGTGTGTGTGTGCTTACTGATGTGTGATAGGAAGGAAGGTGAAGGAAACTAGAGAAGAGAAAGAAAGAAAAGAAGAATATAGGTGGCAAGGGGAAAGGAAAAAAATCAATGAATGCAGTGGCTTGCAGCAGAATGAGCACTGGGTTTGGGGCCAGACACATGTGGATATTTACTATTATTAAAATAACTAGAGGCCCAGTGCACGAAAATTTGTGAACTCAAGGGGTCCCTCAGCCTGGCCTGTGCCCTCTCACAGTCTGGGAGCCCCTAGTGAGGAGTGGGCCTAAGCTGCAGTCTGGCCTCCCTCTGCAGGAGGCAACCGGGTAGCTGATCAGGGGACAGTGCGGGTTGGCACAGCCCCGCCCCCTGCCCCCCCCATCACCTCTCCGCCACCTCTGGTCACTGCCACCTCCCCCCTCCCCCACTGCTATCCCCTCCCTGTGCCTGCTGGTACATGCCTTGGCTGGCCTGGTGCTGCCTGCTCCCTGGCCCATCCCCCCGCCCCCGACTGGTCAATTTGCATATGATGCTTTTACTATATAGGATAACACAAAGGAGAAGAAGGGACATTTATTGTGTGCTTAACTGTGCTCTGGCACAGTGTTAAACACCCTTAATGCATTATCTCTTGTATTACTTGCTACAATCCCAGAGTATGTAGCATTTTTATCCCCATTTCACAGATGAGGACAGTGAGGCCCTGAGAGATTAGTGACTAGCCATGGTCCTCTAGCTAGCCAATGTCTGGAGAAGCCGAGAGTTGAAAATGGCTGTCCTGACTCCAGAGCGTGTGTTCTTAACCTCCATGCAGTACAGGCAGGTTCAAATTCTGCCCCTATCCTGTGACCATGGATAACCTCTCTGACCTCAGTTTCCTTTATGTGAAATATAAACGAATGCCTGTGTTTTCCAGCTTGCAGGGCTGCCAGGAGGACTGAGGTGACGCCGTGGGAAGGGCTAAAGGAATGTGAGGGCTGGTTTACTGGAGGCACTTTTGCGTTTTCTGGTTTCTCTGTTCCCTTGTAGAGATGCTCCCACTGTGTGCCTTCGTGTCTGTTAACTTAGTCCATGATATTAGAGGCCACTTTCCACCCAAGCACACATGTCCTTCTCTTCTTCTCACCTTTCTCTCTCTCTCTCTCTCTCTCTCTCTCTCTCTCTCTCTCTCTCTCTCTCTCTCTCCAGGGCAGCCACTGTTCCCAGTCTCCAAAATAAATCCAAGGTTGAAGTTCAATGAAAAATCAAATACAGCAAATTCCAAATAGCCCCTTAGCCAGAGTAGGGGAGGGATGCCCATTTCCTGTATCTCACTAAGAGATGAGAAATCAAATTTGTGGGTTAATTAGCCCTTTAAAAATGATTGCAGATCCAGTAAGTATAGCTGAACTAGAGATGGTTGAGCGATAGAGACAAGGACTTGCCACGACTCAGAATCCAGTCTTCCATTTGCTCAGGAACCGGGTCAATCAGGCTTAGCAAAATCAACTTACATGAACCGCGCTCTGGAATATAATTTCCGGGGGACATGGCAGGCCCTTTTAGGTGCAGAGAAAATCTAAGACCAGGTGTCCTGAGGTGATGAGAATTTACTGTTAGGCTAAACAGGCAAAGAGGACGAGCCCAAAACCTGCTAAAGGAATGCATGCTGTCCCTGGACCACGTTCCCCCGTGACTAAGGCATCCTGCAGGCCTGGGAGCACTGGGACAATGGCCTTCCACCGGCGACAACGCAAGGCCAGCTGCCTCCATTCACTGTGCCCTCCTCCCCGAAGGTTCTGACCCCTAGACACTGTCACCATCTCACATGCGTCTCGCACTGGGCCGGGTTCCACGTGAGCCATCTCATAAGCGATTGGCCA